CCCGCACCCACATCAGCGCTGGGAGCAGGGGCTCTGTCCAGTTACCACTTGCCAGCCGGCACAGCAAGCATGGGATATGGGCAGGTCTAGGAGCAGGGGCTATGCCCTGCTGCCACTTCTCGCCTTCTGCCTGGAGCAAGCTGCACCCACATTCCACCTCCCCTCCCCCCAGCTAGGCAGGTGGCAGCAGGGAAGAGCCCCCGCTCCCAGTATTGCAGCGCCCACATCCTGCATTCCCCACCCCTCTCCCCAAGTCGCACACCCCCTGCCCCAGCTGGGCAGCTTGTCCCAGCCCCAATCCTTCCCTCCCCACACCCCTTCCATCTCCCCTGCCCCAACCCCAACAGACGTACCAGCTGGAGGCAGCTGCCAGCTGCCTGTTTAGTCTACAGGTGAATCCCCGAATCAGCCAAATCTTTTCCGAATCAATTTGGAGCTTTTAAATTGCAGAGCTTTTAACTTGGTCTCCTGATTTGATTCAGATTCAGTCCCCAAAATCGGGTTGAATCTCCTCCAAATCGAGTCAGCTACCAAAGGTTCACACAGCCCTAGTTAACAGGTACTCAGTTTATAATGCTGCCAGTTTATTCCCATTCAGCCCAATAAATACATTTCTATAATCACTTTTTCAAGGACAAGATCAGTTACGTAACTTCAAAGTTTCTACAGAGGAAGATATCCCTTCCATTTGTCAAATGAAGCCAAGACAAAATTATCTCGATCTCTTGAATGAAAACTGGGCAAAACAGGTCTCATGAACAAAGGCTTCTACATTTAGGTCCCAATTTAGCAAGGTACTTAAGGATATGAATATTTACTTTGATGTCACAGGGGCAAATTCAGTGTAATTTTACAGCTTACCTAAAAAGGAAGCACTAAATGAAGGCCAAGATTCAATGGAAGTTAGGTACTTAACACCATCTCATTTTAAAATTCCACCTTAAAAAGAATAATAGTATTGTGCCAGGTAAGGAAGTCAGAAAACTGGACTTCTGGAACCATCACATGCTACACTGCCTTTTAAATAAACAGCACAGGACTGAAGAAATTCCTGCATTTCTGATTCTGACAGTCAAACAACGTCAGGATGACTTGAAGGACTTGCTCAATACGCGCCTTAAATCCAATTATCAAATTTCACTGAAGATTGGACATTTATCTCCTTCAAGTTCTTCCAAACACCCCAGTGCTAAACTTTTCTTATGTTAAATGTCTGATGCTATGTAGATTTTCTAATTCAGATTGTGATGTGCCTTTCAAGTGAGGCGGAATCTTTCACTTTTGCCTTAAAAATCAGAAGATTAAGAAAAGTATTTCATGAAAATGGAAGTCACAGAGCAGGCATACAAAATAGCAGAGTCTCCTGCAGTTCTGACTAGGCAGAAGTGACAAAGAATTTTCTGTTCAGGTAAAACAAAAGCACTCCAGATGGAATCACTTCTTTGATTACAGAAATCTGAATCTTAATGATTAGTCTACAGATATTTTTTCATATTAAAAGGATATGCCAAACTGATACATAATATTATGGTTTGGATCACGGCTCAGGCATTACCCTCTTTAAAAAAGGTTTCACATCTTTGCTAGACTCTCTTGTGAATTTCATCACTATCAAGACTGAGTGATAAAAAGCATGTAAAATAAAACATTGCCCTTCCTTATTAAAATAAGGATTTTAATACAAGTCCATCTCTACCCTTTTAAAGATGACCTTAAGAATAAATCAATGCAAAATGGCTAACATTACTTACACTTGTACTTATTCTCCCACCTCACCCTTCTCATATAATCACAGGTTATTGCTCATCTCCCTTTCTCCATTTCCAGAGCACTGGTCTTTTGTGCACTAAACACAAAGACAACTAAGCTATTGATTTTTTGAAAGACTCCCAGTCTAATTTGAAGCTGAGGGGCAGTTCTCTTCTCAAGGTCATGATGGGCAGCTGCCTGTAACTGAGATGTAGCACTACTGACTACAGGCTGGAGAGCATGGGAAAGCAGAGCTGGAAGGGACCTCATGAGATCATCTAGTCCAATCCCCTGGTCAAGGCAGGATCGTTTCTGATTAAACTAGGGGCAGGCCATTCTATCCAGTCCTTGGGGCCCCTCTAAAATTCAAGAAAATATTATTATAAATTAAATTATTACCTGCTGGTGGCTGCCTGTCTAGAAGCTGAGAAGGCACCAGTGGCAAGAGGAACGATGGCAGCAGCAGCAAGGCCCACCTTGCCCCACCCTACCTCCAACTGAAGTTCCTGCTCAGCAGAGGCTTCTGGCTGGAGACCAAAGGGTTATTCCCCTGCCCTCCCTCTGCCTGAGAGGGAAAATTTAGATAAGAACCTGGGGGAGAGACGATCACTGGTGCAGCTGGAGCCATCCTGGCCCTGCCAGCACCACACAGTTCCTGGCTGCATGGCCAGCCCATGCAGTGCAGCAGGAGCCAGCCAGGAACCGGGCCAAGCTGGTTCCTGCTGTGCTGTGAGGTCCCGGACATGCAGCTGGGAACTGCAAGCTGACAGAGCAGCAGACAGGGGGGTGGAAGCAGTGGACAGGAAGGTAGGAAATCGTCAGGGGAAGGGCAGAGGCAGTAGGCAAGAGTGCAGGGCCCATGCCAGCAGGGCCTGAAGTTGGGACAGTAGGAGCACAGAGCACAAGCTGGCAGGGGCTCTATAGAGCTGAGCCAGTTCTGCCCCTCTACCTCTTGAAGGTCTGGGGCTCACCGGGACCACACACCACTGGGGTCTCCACCTGCCAAAGGCCATGAGCACCCTGAGGTTTCGCTGCCTGTTGCTGCTGGTGGCAGGAGCTATGTGCAATGAGAGAGGGGGGCGTGTGTGGGGTTGCAAGGGGGGAGGTTCCACGTTCCTGCCACCCCAACCTGGACCCCCACCAGCCCTGGCCCTGGGGCACCAGTGCAGGCCCCATGCTCCTTCCCCCTTCCTGCTGTCACTGCCCTTCCCCACTTTCCTGCCTGCTGCCACCACTCTCCCCACCCCCTCTCCCTTTCCATCATTGTCGTTGGCAGTCCCTCGAAAT